AGGGGTGGCACCAAACCAAGCAAGGATGGGGCAGTGGTGGCACTCAGGAAAGCAGGAATGGGGCAGTGGTGGTACCCAGGAGGGCAGGGATGAGGTAGGGGTGGCACCCAGAATGGCAGGGATGGGGTAGGAGTGGTACCCAGGAGGGCAGGGATGGGGTAGGGGTGGCACCCAAAGAGGTGGCAAAGGTACCCAAAGGCCAGTGAGGAGCCAGTGGTGGCACCCAGGAGAGCGGGATGGCACCAAGCAGGCAGGGATGGGGAAATCGCTGTCCCCAGGAGGGCAGGGATTGTCCCCAGGTACCAGCTGGGCATCCGGGGGGTGCTGAGAACCCAGGAGGGCAGGGAGGGGACATTGGTGACACCCAGGAGGGCACTGGTGACACCCAGGAGGGCAGGGATGGGACAGTGGTGACACCCAGGAGGGCAGGGAGGGAACATTGGTGACACCCAGGAGAGCAGGGATGGGATAGTGGTGACACCAAACCGGGAAATGCTGGAGCAGTTTTGGTCCCCAGGACATCAGTGGTGGCCCCAGGACATCAGTGGTGGCCCCAGGACGTCAGAGATGCTCCCCAAACTATTCCCCGTATTCCCCATTGAACCACAGTCCCTCCTGGGGCTCATCCGAGCCCAGACAGATGAACTTGTATCGAATTGTGTCTATTCACGGATAAATGTATAAAAACACAGAAATTGCCCAGTGAAGGACCCGTTTTTAATTCCCTTTTCACGCAGGAGTCCAACACCCTGGGCTTTGAGTGCACCCTGGAGGAGGTGGATGTGCAGGACATCACCGAGAACCGGACCAACACCCTCCGAGCCTGCACCGCCGAGGACGCGGGGGTAAAGCGCAGAGAAAATACAAATCATTTCTAAATTTCACCTCGTCCTCCCCTGGAACGCATCCTCCACGTTCCCATGAAATCAAACTCCACACCCCCATGAAATCAAACTCCACGCCCCCATTAAATCAAACTCCACACCCCCATGAAATCAAACTCCAAACTCCACACCCCCAATTAAATCAAACTCCACGTCCCCATGAAATCAAACTCCAAACTCCACACTCCCATGAAATCAAACTCCACACCCCCAATTAAATCAAACTCCACGCCCCCATGAAATCAAACTCCAAACTCCACACTCCCATTAAATCAAACTCCACACCCCCAATTAAATCAAACTCCAC